GAGTCTCATCCTCCAGTTATCTGATCCTTTGCTTTTTGGTAACTTGACATTTTGGGGAAAATGTGTTTTTTCAGTAGCAGACTATCTCTGTCTCTCATCTTCTCTGCCACATGACCCTGCTCTCCTTGCAGGGGTATAGGTTTCTTAGTAATGTGAGTTCCTGCTGGGCTCCACAGTAGCCTTTCCAGAAAACGTTAAAAATGTGCATCGCATTAGAAAGTGAATGAAGATGAGCCAAGGGGCTGGCACACACCCCTGTCGAAGGGGCTGCACCAAGCAGGACAGCAGGGAAATCCCAAGACAAAAGCAGTGAGTGTTGAGCTACCTGGTCTAGGAAGGGCTCGAAGGAAAGAGACGGAGACAGCAACAGCCACTGATGTGTAAATCTGAATTTATCTCCGTAGGAGCATGTGGAATGGAGGGCCAGGGCAAGTGTTTGCACACCACAGGGCAAAGGCAGGCTTAGAGCAAGCCTTATTCCCCTGTATTAGCTGTATTAGTGGTAGGACAGGAGCTGCACACCACTACAAATAACCCTTTGCGTTTTTAAACAGAGACACTGTGGATACACCACTTCTTCTGATCGATCCAGTATAGGCATTTAATAGGCTAAATGGTGTAATACATCTATAGGACATACATTAGTTGAGTATTATGTACAGATGGCATTTTACAAAATTAGAAAGAACTGAAATAGAGCAAAATCCAACAACGTCTTACTCCATAAAACTTCCTTTCTGCACTACATGAAATATTCTACAAGCTAGACTAGAAAAATATGACTGAATGTCTTTTTTTTTCCTTTTTAGTTTCTACAAAGCTTTTAATCCAGAAAAAAATACAAAACAACTATTGAGTTTATTAGAGAGACAACACTTGCACATAGACAAAATAAGTGGATGTTCATAGACCTGCAAGTCGAATAAATAGGGCTTGTTTGTATAAAACAATTTTCTCTCTGTCTTGCTCTCATATTTTAGGACCTCTGGCCCATGTTCAGAAAAATAAAAATGGGAGGAGGAGTTTGGCGTTGTGTGGCTGTTAAAATGAGGCCACAGGGCTTTAGGAGAAAGCTTTAGGTTGAAGCATCCATTTGTTTCAGGTAAAATACTTCAAGGGAGCGGCGTGGAAGAGGGAAAAGGAAAGAGAGGAGTAATTAGGCTGGAAGGAGGAAATCTGGAATTTCTTTATGGCCTGTAGCTTGATGTACTGGGATGAAAAAAGTACTGCTGTGTGGCCTTTTTTCAGGATGTATGTAGAATTTTGTTGTTTTTTTGGGAAACTTATTTAGGGAAGTGCCATTGACCTCAGGTGGAAATAGGATAAGGGCCATCCAGAGCAGGAAGGGAGGGAGAGTCTGAAAGCAGATAGAGAGCACATAAAATTGGGGGAAGCGTTTCAAACAACTGTTTTTCCTTTTATAAAGTGAAAAGCGAATTAAGTGATACGTCTAACGTCATTCCTCGCGGAGCTGGGCAGACGCAGATTGAAAGGAAATCACACAGCTAAAAATATGTCATCACTGTTGTTGTTTTTCCCCCAGAGCTTTGTAAAACTTCTTGACAGTCGATGCAAAAGCAGTACTTAAAGAGCACCTCGCATCCGCCCGGCCGCCTTGTCAGCGCAGCCTTCCTCCCACCACGACCAGCTGCAGGCAGGTCCAAGCTGGGGACCTCCTCTCGCTGCTTGTGTGCTACCCAAACACGGAGCTTCAGCCTGTTCTCACTTTGTTGGCTTTACCAGAAAACTGTCACTGGCGAAGGGGGTGACAGGGACGGCAGCCAGGTTTAGGAGGTGCTCTGAAACCTTCAGTTACTCTGGTGAAATTCAATGCTCTGACCAGAATCCCACTCATCCAACAAAACAATTCTGTGACAGCGTTAGGTAAGAGTCTACATCAAGAAGGCAAAACAGATCGTTATACAGGTTGAGAGAGCAAAGTTTAACTTAAGTATCACATTATACAATACTACACTGCTTATAAAAAGGGTTCTAGATCCCAAACACCCCAAATAATGAGCTATAGTTTTGTACATAAATTAATGTTGCTTTGAAGTAAAATAGTCTCTTTCCTTTGTATTAAACATTCATTGCACAGAATTCTTTGTAAGTAAATATATTAAATTTGGTTGCTAAGAAGGTATAAACTTATCCTATTAATACATCTGGCCAGTAAATTTTATCCACTATCACACAATTAAAAGTTGCCGTTAGAGAAGATTATTACTGGAGAAAAGAAAGCACTTGGAAGTCAACTTAGGAGTTAATGCTGGAAGAAATTCTCTTATTTCATTCCACCCACAGCAAGCGGCTTCTTCCGGCTGCAACATTAATTGGAAGTACAGACCCCATCCAGCCCTGCAGAGATAGAAAAAGCCAGCTTCGTAGCTTACGGGACACTCGTCACTGACACAGTCAAACCCTTTCGAGTACAAGCATTATCTGTCTCCACCAACACTGCCCAAAAGGTGGCTAAGATCCGTGCTTCTCCTGGGACATCCCCGTGCAGGAACAGGTTCACCTTTGTCAAAACAGACCCCAAATCCCCAAGGAAAATCCACTGGAGGCCCAAGGTGTCCAGAGATCGCTTGTTCCACCATGAGCTCTGGGCTGCAGGAGGTGGCTGTGCGACCAAAGCCGAGGGGGTCATGCAACCAAAGCTGAGGGCACCATGCCACAGAGGAGGACACCCCCAGTGCCCGTGCTCCCGCCAGCAGTGCTGCTTGGGCAGGAGGGAGATGGGGGTGTGTCCCACCACCTCAGCCCTCCTCCACCCCCTCCTACTGCAAGTGGCTCGGAGGGGACCTGGCATCAGGCAAAACGGAGGGCAGGTTTGGGCCGTGCTATGGAGCTCTCGTCACCCACCCCCAACTACTACCCGGGTGGAACAGCTGGACCTCTGCACCTATGTTATGCACAAAACATACCAAAAGAAGAATTGTCACAACAATTTCTATTAACAAGGTGGGACAAATCCAGCCCTGGCAGAAGCAGAAGCCATCTCGTTGGCTTCAAGGGAGAGGAGCGTGCGTCACACCACGGCTGGACCTGGTCCTGAAGAGTGCACGGACAGCACGATCCACCCCACCAAGCCTACAACAGACAGCCTCACTCCACAGACACCGGCAACTAGCTAATCCGCTTCATCAATGTACAGCAAGAAAGCGTTTCTGAAAGGCGTCGGCCTTCTTGAAAAGGCAGCTGAGAAAAGGCTGGTTCATCCGAATTTGCACAGGTTAGCCAAAGGGAAAGAACTGCTTTGGGCCATCCCGGGGCAGCAGCCTGGAGGCAAATCTTACACTTGCTTCTCTATACAAAAGTTACAAAATCAAACGGTGACATTATATTACATCTATTGTCCATAATATCACAGTGCTAGTTTTAAATGGCTAAAAACAAGAAAGGTTTTAGATTTAAGACATCCCTCCTGTAGAAATGTAACCCCTTAGTCCCGCTGTTGATACCTGAAAGCAGCCTTGCTTGAAAAAGGTAAATCCAACGAAATGTGTTAATTGAAATTAGGAGCATTTTTTCCTTGATAATCGTGTACTTCCTAACATGTCCCATTGTTTCCCAAGGAAAAATTAAACAAAGAATATGAATCCCAGCCTGAAAATCAAAACGTTGAAAAGAACAGTTCTAAAGCCCAGACGCTTCTTACCAGGTCCTAACTAAATAAAACCCTTGCAGATTTAAACACAGATTACTTTGACATGTCTTCAGAGTGTGTTAGCTTTCCAACAACATCCACAACAAAGTTTCCCTTCTGAGGCCATGGAGTCCTTACTCGTCCTCTTCAGTTCTGCCTTCCAGAGTATCTGTACTGTCTTCCACTTCTTGAGCTGGGTGCGCTAAAGTATCTGCAAATAAATGGTTCATCAGTATTTATTTCCCCATAGGGGCACAACAGCCTTCATTTGATTCCCTGCTCCACTAGGCAGTTGATCCGTTAGGGTGATCAGACCTGACATCAGCAATTTGCTCTACTTGCACACCAGTAGTTATACCTGGAGTAGGGAACATGGAGTGCATCACATCTGACTTTACAGGGGACTTAAGACCACAGGACAGATGTCAGTGAGATGAGGTGATGGTCCCTATGGACTGCACCGTAGTGGGAGAGCTACCTGTTAGGATTCTCGGATTCCCTGCTCCAACTCAGTCCTGAAGACATAACGAGTCCTAACATCAATGCATAAAACCAACACAGTGGCCAAAATGTGCAACCTGGAGGTCGAGCCATAGATTTGGCTCATATTTCTTCCTGAATGACCAAACCCTGCGGTTGCCATCACCCAGAAATGCCAACTGGAAAAGCAGGTGATTTGACACTTCAAGATCAGACCATTCGTCATCCTTTGAAGGGAAAGGACCGTGCATCTTGCACCCCATCCTGGCTGCTGTTTCTGGGCATTTGGGTGGCAAATGTTGGTGCACTGAAATGGAAATCATGTCACTCTTTAAGAGAAAAGAAGAGCACTGAGAAGAAAAAAACAGAAATAAATAGACCAGTTCTGCACTGGAGCATTGTCTGTGCAAGCTACACTCCAACAAGCTCTTATCGTTAGCCAGCTTTACCCCACAGTGACACTACCAGCTGTATCTACATGTTTGTGAGCTCCTGCTACTCTAATGCACTCCTGAGACACCACAATGCTTTGAAAGCGTGCAGCTGTTAAACACTTCACTTCCATGCTAGGAGATAGGGAGGCAGATACAGACTATGGAACAGGATTGCTGTTTCCTAGAGTGAACTGCTAACGTGCAGTAAGCTGCCCGTTGGCCATATGAGTGGCCAGCACTGAGGCTGACACAGATGAAAACACCATGTTCTCAAAAGCTACAAGGAAATTTTCTGTCCACAGGACTCCCTTTCCAGTGCAGGTGTTTCTGGTCACCTTCAAGCACCTACTGCTCTGTGGTATGCTGTTAACTTCAGTGCATGGCCTGGAACCGCTATTTTCCTATGGAGAACAAGGATGAAAATGACTCATTCAGACCTTCCAGATCCATCTGCTGCTGCTGCTGCTGCTGGACACAGGCTCTTTGGTCACCATGAAGACCTTTGTCTTCTGCTGATTTCAGGTCATCAGGAGGCCACCGCAGCTCCCCACTCTCCACCTCCCCGGACTCGGTCGGCTCCACCACGATGGATGGCAGTCTTTTGGACAGCTTGGGATACTTCTCACGTGAGTCTGGGAAGGCCTGTTAAGACACATGGGGACATGCCTGTTCAAAGCCTCACCCAGGGCTGCATATTCAGAGCAAGCAGAGCACCCACTCCATCTCAGCATCCTTTCTACCATCTGACACACACTCCCACGTCCACCGAAAAACCCTTCAAACTGGTGCAGAGCAAGCAGTCCTGCACAGGGATGGTTTTAAAAGCAGCTAAATCCAGTTCCGTGCCAGCCAAGCATGGATGCAGAGGGACTAAGATGTCCCAGTACACCCTCCTCCACACACGCTGTCCCTCACTGGTCAAAGAACTGGCTCTGCTCACCAGAGTGTTGGGCAGACAATTGCCTTGACTTGTGGGATCTGACGTGTGCAGTAAAAATGGAGACTTAGGTGACAAAATTCAAAATTCGTGTTTCTGTTCTGGTGTGTTTTCAGGACACAAAGGTCGATGCAGTGACGCTAATCTGAACAGCTGCTGCAGCCCTTCTAGCTGCTGTCCTTTTACTCTGACATGAAATTCATGTTTTCTTGCGGTGAAAGTTTATTAAGAAGCCACCATTCTGCAGAGCTATTTTCTGTAATGTGACACACTGTATTTTACGATGCATTCATGCAAAACAGGTAGCCCCAGAGATCATCTTTACACAGAGGATGGTGCCAACTATTATTTCCATTTGTCACACTGAAGCTGCGGGTCAAACACTGCAGCGATTAGAGCTTGAAGCTGAACTACATCTTTTAGTGAGGGATATTGTATCACATCAAAGTGCTTTCTTGTTTTCAACATAGCTGGTTCATTTAAATCTCCCTGGGGACTTTGTTTTGGACTAGGTTTTTTTCCTTTTTTTTTTTTTTTTTTTTTTTAAGGAAAAGTCATTCCAGCTCCTCCAGGATGTTAACATAAGACAAACTCTGTTGCTGCTTTGCTGAAACCTTATTTCCTGGCTTCTTAAATGTCCCTATACCTGCACTAACAGGCTGTAAATTTTTCTGTGCTAGCTGAGTTTTATTTTATTTTATTTTATTTTATTTGTAATAATAAAATCAAGGTGCAGTCTAGGGGACTGAACTAGGGGTTGAGAGCAAGAACCTTCCCAGTTTAACTCCAGGCGCTGCCACAGGTTTACTGTGTGCTGGTGGGAACCTCCCCACCCATCTGCAACACCTTCACCACAGAATCGGGGTATCTGGTGAGACTGAGCCCTGCTGTTACGTTAGCCAGTCTCAGCACAGCTCCTGCTATGAGCACAGGCAGAAATATGCAGATATTCCCTATCCACCATAAAACTGGGTACGTCCTCCAGGACACTGTCAGGGACCTGGGGACTGCAGTGTCATAACCCACTGCAGGTGTTTGCTCCGTGGATTTGGCAACCTTCCTTCATCCCACTAGCTGTTCGCGCTAAGACCTTAGGGTTTAGTTGTCCCGTGTGGCATCAGAGCTGGCATGGGGAGGCAACTTCTTGGGAAGGGCAGTTCTCTTGTTATGTGTCTGGGAAGCAGCAAGCACGTTTTTATCAGTGCTGCGGTGCCTATATCTGACTTTTGGAGATGGAGAAGGACAACAACTTCCCTCATACCCTTGGTCCCCATAATAGTGTTGAAGGGATTCATTACTCTTTGCAAACCTACATGAAGGCAAATAGTGTTGTATATTATTGTTAGTGTTGCAAAGTGAGACACAATTAAGAAGGAACTTTCTATGTGAGAAAGCCCCTTCAGTGCAGCTAGACCAAGCGAATCACTGAAGGTAACCCTTCCTAATGCCTCCGGAGCTGCGCTCACACGGGTGTAACTCATCCTGCTCAGGCAATGCTGCTCCTGCTGCCTCTCAGAAATTTCCCCCAACTTCCCATGACACAGCCTCCTCCTGAGCTGCTTATAACTTGGAAAGAAAATTTCCATGGCAGCTGTCTTGACTGGGAGGAGTTTGTAAGAAGTCGCTAATACGATCTTGCTATTTCCAAATATGAGACAAGGTGAAAACTCCCTGGCCAGGGCAGGTCCAGAGACATCCCTGATCAGCAGTGCATTCTTCTTCAGACCCATGGTGGAGCCCAGTTTCCCCGGGTGCCACGGCTCAGCTGGTGGAAAACAGTCACAAAATTGTGGGCAAATCACCTTATTTCCTCTCGGGTCTGTGTGTACAGGTGACAGTGACCTCTTCCCCCGGCTCCTGCTCGGGTGGCAGAGGGCTACATGAGAGCCACCCTGTCCCCAAGCCTGCCAGCAACCCCTGGCAGTGGGATGCAATGCAAGAAAATCTCTGCTTTTTCATCTGCTTTCTGAAGCCCTGGGAAACAACACACACTGTTCTAAAAATGTGTAAAGAGACGATTATTACGGCTGCAACAAAATTTAGGAAAGGCACCTGCGCGGCCTCGGCGTGGCTATTTTTGTCTGTGTCGTTCTCATATGGTCTTTTCTCACACCAATCACATCATGTTTTTTTTTCCACCGGAGCCCAGTATTTACCACATCCCTCCAGGAATGAGTCAGGACTGGCAGGAAGCAGAGCTGCCTGTCGGGCCTCGCTCTGTTTTTCTGCGGAAGCTGGAGTGTGTGACGAGTGGGCAGGAGACGGCAGGAAGAGAAGGATCGGTCTCCCGGACAGAGCACTTGGAAGTTGCTGGAAGAAACCTAGTTCTTGCGCTGAGTCACTGTCGTTGTGCTACCTCTCATTTCTTTCTGCTTTTTTGCCTCGGTAGGCCATCACTAAAACGTGGATGGTATCACCTTCTCCCAGAGAGGTAGGGTAAAGAAGCTGGGGGAAAACCTCTGGAGCGTGTGATCAGGGACACCATAGAAAAGCCATAAAGATTTAGGTGGAGTTGGAGCTGGTACAGAGTTTGGCCAGCATGCTCTAACACAGCAATGAAAACCTGGGACTCAGTGAGAAAGAGGAAAGAGAGTACTGAAAATGTGCCCTCCGAGTGAGCAGCACCTATCCTGTGTGGTTGAGGAGGCTCAGGGCAGCCTACGGTACACTCTTTAATTGCACACAGCCTTTCACTACGTGCGCAAGTGATCTGAAAGGAATTTGCAAAATTTCACTTCTGACTTCCAAATGCTTGACTTCGACCTGCAACAAGATTCTCCTAGAGTAGCCTTCTGAGCCTGCTCGCAATAATACACCTCGTGTTGAGAAGCAACTCGGGTCCACCAGGACACGTATAGGTAGTTTGTCCCCAGCAGTGACATGGAGCGTCATGCGCACAACCGCAGAGCACAAACCAGGACATGCGGGTGTCACAAGGGGGGCTCGGGACATCGTGATCCCTCCTGCTGGGAACGGCAACGTGGGTGGGTACACGAGTGGGTGTGTGAGACCACCCGGGGACAGCAAATGCTCTTGCACTTGCCAGCAAACGGCCCTGACCAGCACCACTGCCACGATGCCACAGCCATTTATATGAATTACACCATCATTTCAAATGGTCTCGTTTCCAAAACGGGAGCTCCCTTCGAGCCTGAGGAACTTCGCTCACTACAAGGGTGGCTGTATAAAAGCAGTAGTACAGTATGGGCTGGATGTCTTCATCACACAATGGTTGCTCAGATCTCAACTCTTGGTGACAAACACCTGCTTTGCATGCATCCCCGCAGGGGCCGGCCATCACTGCCACCGTGCCCTGGAGGCCTGGTGTCCAGCAAACCCCCCTGCTAGAACTCCTGCCTTTTAAAAATAAAACCTAAGTAGGAGCAAACATGTATTTCAGGGCTTGTTTGTCTGGCAGCTGTGCTCTGCAATTCAGCATGTACATGTATGGCAGTCATTGGTTGCATTACGTTGCTTTTGAAAAGCAATTCAGGATATTTTCCAGTTTTTCTAAAGTTACCTGGCTTGAAGGGCTTCCTTCTTCCTCAGGAGTCTGGCTGAGCGCAAATTCCTCCATCACCGGTTCCCGTGTGTTCATCACCTCTGTCATGCTGCAAATATTAAATCGGAATTAGAAAACTCAGCTCTGAGCTTTGGTCCCATAGCTAATTTAACAAAAGACATTGGCTTTTCGTATTTGCTAAAATAACTGTGTTACAGACAGTCCTTTCTAAACAGCCTCCCAAGAAGTGTTTCCTTGGCCCTCCAAGCCAACTGCTACCACTGCATGCCGTGATGCAGAGCAGGGCGTTGACCCCAGCTGCTCCCCACCAGAGACAGCAGAGAGGAACCCCAGAGGGTCCTAGAGCTGTCAGCAGGAAAATATAAGCCCTCCTATGTTATCAGCAACCAGTTAATTACTAATCTATGAGCTCAGAAATGGCATCTGTTGACCAAAAAAAGTTACTCGTGGAAATATCAGCCTTGAAATAAATTCTCATTCTGATTCTTCACAACATCTTCAATATTTGCTCTTCCCAGATGTCTATTCCATTTAGTCATCAGCCAGCACTTCTTTTAAAACTGCTAATTCCAGACGCACCAGCTGTACTGGCGTCTAAGGGCCAGATTTTCAGTATTCTTTACTCGCCTGAGTGTTCAGAGAGGTGTTGAGTGGGATTTTCAAATGCATCAGGGAAAGTTTGGCACCTAAATCTCATTTAAATCAGGGACTTAGGAACCTAAGCTGCTTATGCGCCCATTGATCACTCCCCTGTGCTGTTTGGCACCTGAGGCACTACAGTGCTGGCCCTTGCAAGCTCCTTGTTCCACTGGGTACTGTGGTAGCCCGGAGCGGAGGGATGAGAGGGACATCCTTGCTGCAGGGAGCTCAGCCCGGCCCCTGGTTGGGTACCCGCATGTCCCCATGGCATCAGGATTTTCCTCACATTTGAGATTTATAGATACAGCATCCCATCGAAAAATTTGAGGATGCCTGAAAACTTCACAATGCGTATCACGCGCGTAGGAGCAAACAGAGCCTGAACCACCTTGTTTGACCTACAGACTGAAGAGGCGATGTTCATTCTGGATGGGAATACATCAGCCCCAGATGGGTTTGGCCAGGGGCATTTCACTCTCCCGAGCAGCTACTGGCTGCTGGAGTCTCCTGCAGCAAGCAGAACGTAGGCATCACCAAATACACCGCCCCACCACCTGCCACTGCCAGCACCCCTTCAGGCACGACTAAATGCTGCCATTAACTCTGGTCCTGCTTCACGCACAAAATCCTTCTTTGTAAAGGCTGCTCCTACTGAGAAATGCAAACTAAAACATCTTAAGGATAACTTGTTTCAGGCTTACATTACCAATTACCCACAAAACTAAATTTTACAATATCTGCAATTACTACGAAATCCTTCACAATGACTTTAATTAGCTGCAACGCAGAGCAGCGTGATATCGCAGAGACTTTCACTCCCACTGCATCTTATTTAAAAAAAAGCATGGCAGACTCAGGAGACACTTGAGCTCAGCTGTGGGGCAGGACCTGATCCCATAGGCATCCATCAACTTAGGGAAAAGCCCTGAAGTGCCAGCCTTGGACCCAACCAGAGCTGAATTAAACAACACACTTCCCGGTACGCACAAACACAACAGGATAAGGCTCTGAAACTCAGCAAGAGGCTGAACCAAACCCCTGATCTGGGCATCCCCCAGCTTACACAGCCTGAATCCTCCCAGAGCCACAATGCAGTAGAAGAGGGTCGGATTCTGCTTGCTAGGAAGAGAGTTTTGAGTTCCCTGCCCTTGCTTGGTCCTGTACCCCTGCCCAGCAGGAAGGATCAGGACACCACAAATCTCCTAATCAATAAAAGACATTTAATTCCTGGACACATGCTTTTATTCTTGCAGCATCTATTGGGCCATGTCATTGGGCACCTGTGGACGACAGCATTGAGGGACTCGTGATCTAGAAATGGGAGACCCTTTCCTAGAATGGTGACTGTGGGCCCAGCTGTGCCAGCTGTTCCTACACCCCAAGACAGCGCTTAAAAGGACAGTGCCCTTGGACTCTTCTCTGCCCAAAAGGAAAGCAGCACTTCCTCCCTTGCCTCCTCCCTCTGATCACCCCTGGTGCTCACACAGTTCTTGCCTTTTTTCCCATCCTGGTCCCTGTCTCTCCTTTGGTCTCAGAGGGACCGTCTTGCATCTCTCCTGCTGCCCCTCCAGTGCTGCCTATGTGAGCAACCATGCTGGGCCACAGTGGGACCTCGCTCTCCCACTCCAACTCTTTGGGAAGAGTTGGTCTGAGGGGCTTTCACACCGCCTGTCAGCCAGATCTAGCCGTGAACCTAGAGGAGCCCAGAGCCCACCATTCTGACCACGTCCCAGATGAAAGTCTTTCATTTTGGGGTTCTGTGCTCCATCCTCAGCAGTCCTGCATAGCAGGGAAAAGGAAATGAGAAAGTGTGTGTTTTGCTGGAAATAATCTTGGGGGCTTAGTGGGGGGCCAGGACTTATGAAGTCTTGGGCTTGGCTCCCACGGAGAAGACATTTCCCACTGCTGTGTGTCCTGGGGTTGGTCCCCGCTAGCCAGCGGCAGACTCCTGCAGTCACTCACAACTGGCTGGTCTATTTTAGCAGCCTTTCAATACATACCAAGTGTTTAAACTACTTCTCTGTCCTTGTCCCATGGGACAGTAGAGATATACATCCACATATGCACTGTCAAATGTGTCATATGAGCTCAAAGATGTTAGGACCTCATGAAATTCTATTATGGAGCAATAATGGGCTCCGTGCTTCCCTAAGACCACATTATACCCCACAGATTATTTCTAAATGACAAAGACAAATGATTCTGGCTAGGAAAATGGTGACAGTCTTGCCAGTGTTACAGCAGATGCCTCAGTGAATCAGCTCCCAAGCTGTTGAAGCCCAGGCCATTTCACAAAATCTGTGCAACTTAAGGCTTTGATTGAATAGGATGGCAGAAGTGATTGTACTTGATGTGTCTCAGAAAAGAACACGGGGCCAAGCAATTGGCAAAAGAATTAGGCTTTAACTGGAACAGATTAATTGTTCTCAGTCTCCATTTAGAAACAGTAAAGGAAAGCAGAAGAAATCTATATGGGCTGCGAAAGCAGGGATGCTTCTAACAAGCTTAACTAGGTATTTAACACTAAAAATTACTTCAGGTAAAATAATTGAGAATGCTGCTGCAAATCAGTCCATCTGAAACTTCAAAATCACCTGTAGGACATCACTGAATTGTTTATAAAGCCACAGAATCTGAAAAAAAGGGGTTTGATTGCTGCTTAGGGCTTTTTTAACTATGATACGATTTATGTGCAGGAGAATTTTTCACTTTTCAGCCAGCTTTGATGGAAAAATATTGAGCCACTTCTACTGCTGCTTTTATGTGAGATGTACTAACACACAACACAAAGTGGCTGATACAAGCAAATTATTGTAAGAGCTATATCTCTTTTAAATTCAGTCTCACATTCATTTTATGTACCGTAGGTGCTGATATCACCAATGACATACAGTAGCCATAGTGATGCAAAACAAGGCAATAAATAGCATTTACAAACAAAGAATAAATTCTGTTCTGGTGGATGAGTCACCTACTCTGAACCTTAAAATTCTTGTGTCAGTGAATTAAGAGATGCATTTACTTCCCCTAGGTTTAATTAAGCTCAAATATACCAATTAGGGGGGAAAAAAAAGCAAAATCTGTTCTTTGCTTTTCTGAGAGAAAACTACATTTCGAGAAGATTATCTTAAATGCAGCTGCTATAGTTGCAGGACCATGTATGCTGATCATTTTCCAGAGACACGGAGCGAACACGCAGCCCACTCTCTGCTGTTTGCGATGGCGCTAACAAGGTCAGTAACATACAGAGCAATATATAGGTTGACAAGTGTTAAACCACCTACCACGAGAAAGCGCTCGGAAACAATGTCTATAATTTTTCCTTTCAGAACAGAGGGCAAAACTGACCTGTGAAATTCCTGGTGGTAAAACAGTATTTGAATGAGGACCAGCTTCAGAATTCAAAACCGTGAAGCACTTATATGCTTATGGAAAACGGGTAGGTTGCAAGACACAAGCAAAAATTCCCTTAAGAAGAGGGGCAAAACCACATTTTATGGGATGGGCTGAGCCATGGTTGGGAAGAGCTGTTATCTGAAGGAATGATGAGCCTGGAGGATGCTCAGACTCGCATCAAACTGAGGCCTGATCCTGCTCTCACCTCACTAACCAGGATGGGCAGCAAAGGGGATGTCCAGCCAGAGGACGAGGCTCCGTGGGGGATAAACGGCAAGTACAGGGCAATGACAGAAGAGAGCGCGTTACCTTCAATCACATCAACGATGTCGCTTCCGAAAACTGTCCTTGCTGCAGACGTTCACGTCGCCGATGGAGTGTCGTGCAAACTCTGTCGAACCCTAAAAGTGCCTGAAAGAGACAATACGACAGAGTCAGCACTTGCAACCAAAGCGACAACGCTGGCAGTGACCGGTGGGAAAGAGGACTACAGAAAACTTGCTGCAGAAACTCCTGCCGTCAAGGTCTGTGTAATTTTCTACACCAGATGGGAATTGATCTCGATAAGGACGCAGCTTGTAGCATACCTCGTGAATTACAGAGGCAACTAATGTTCCAAAACCACCCAAAGCTCTTAGCTGAAATACCTTGCAACCTGACTCTTTTTGTAATGATAAACCTTATTCCTTAGTGTCAGCTACATAAAACCTGCTGAAACTGGGGCACTCTGAAATTCTCCCATACAGGAATTTTGATGATAGTTTGAAAATCAGAAAATAAAAATGTAGACCATTATTTGGCAGGATCAGTGTGCTTAGTGAGACAACGGTTCAAAACATCAAAGAAAAAGATTTCTGCTCAAGAAGCTACTGGTCAAGACACAAAGAAGACAAAATAGGCTGAAAGAAGGATAAGTTAGGATTACAATACTGCACGTTTATTACAGATGTCATAGGAGAAGTGATTTTTGCAAAGTTCTACTCCAAACTGAAGGTAATACTTTGACTGGTACCAGGACAGGGAGCCTGGAGAGCAGAGGTGAGGATCCCCTC